AAAGATTTCTTTAACATGTGGAAAAGACAATGGGATAGAAAACTCAACACTATCCCCTTCTAAAGAAACCCTCCCACGTTGTAATAATTAATGAGAATTTATTTGCCTTTTGTCCAGTGCAGTCACTACAAGAGTCTCTGGGATCGTAATAAATTTTTATACATTTATGAGAAAAATGCAATAACACAGTTCACAAGCAATGACCTGTTTTATGTCACAAGCACTTCTTTGCAAAAATATATATATAAATGTATAAAAGAAGTTATATGAAAAAGGAGACCTTCCATGGAAAAGTTCACTCCAAATTTTGTATTTTAAACCAAACAACCTCAACATTTTTAAGAATTTTTTCACGTAGATACTGATAGCAAGGACGTCTGCCTGAAGTTTGTTGCACTGTGACTTCATTTTACAAGTCAGATAACATGGAAATACGATGGACACATTCAGAAAAGACAGAATTCACTAGTATTTCTGAAGCTGTGGCCTGGCAGTTTTCCTTTAGCCCCGATGAAATATTAATTGCACATTTTTAAAAAATCACCAAGGTTATGCATCTCCCCGGAGCCTAGAAGGTCTTTCATATTTCTTAATTACCAAACGTGGGTTCGGCCGCTCGGCTTTCTCCCTGCTCCTGCCGCATCAAGGGTGCCCTTGCGGTTTCCACTGAAAAGGACTATCCATTAACATAGGAGGTTGGAGTGGCGGGTGGAAGAAGGGAAAGGTGTTAATTCAGATGTTATGAAACTGTGATAATGCTATTATTTAAGGCACTTATTTGGGTATGTTTATACTTTGTAGTTTTATAAATAAACCCAAGGGGCTCCTCCGGGTTGTCACAGTCCTCCTTGAAGCTCGGATCCTGTCTGTCTCTTCCTATCCGACAGTAGAATTGATGCCGCTCTAATCCCTGGAAGTTGGGAACTAATGAACTGACTGCTGAGCTGCCGCCACGGAGCTTGGTCCCAAACTATACTGTACTTCACACTCGATTTATTCTCCAGATGGCGAGACTGTGCCGCCCTGCCGCGAGGGACCACCTCTTCCACTGGAGTGTAAAAGTGGACGGATGTTGTTTTCTTTGCAGATTTGATCATTCTGAGCTAGAAACTCGCGAGGATGATTAGTTATTAGCTTTAATGGGTGCCAATTGAACCAACTGCACGCATATTTTCTCCTTTAATTTTGGAGTCTGCGGGTCTTGGCGATGGTTGATTTATCCGCTTTCTTACGTCACTCGAGCGTGTCTCTTCCCCAGGTGATAAGAACCCAGTCTCTGAAATCATAGCACGCCTTGGTTCCTGGCCCAGACAGAGTCATATAATACGGTGGCTTATGTATAAGGACAAGTTTATTAGCCACTGGTCCACTGCACTGAGCAGCCCGTGGCACGGAATATCGATTGGCTGCAGGAAGTTTGGTGACAGCACTTCTTATGTACAGCAGCGGCTGATGAAGATTCTGAGTGGTGCCAACTTCCTTTGTGACCTCTGCAGAGTTCACCTCTGGAATCAGACATGCTACAGAACACACTGTGATAATTAGTCTCCGCAAAGATCTAATGTAACTGTTGAGAAAGGCCTTAATTCTATTATTGTTTTTTCCAGGTTGGCAGATTTTAGTGGGACAAGCTCATCCTACACTAAGAAATGCTTAACAAGGCCGTTCTGTAGTGTTAACACATTTAGAGTGCAGTTCCTTCCAAACCGCATTTTGAACAACCTGGCTTGCCACCAGAATGTAAGACCCCCCCCCAACCACCCCCCAAAAACGGTCTTTTTTGAGGGACCTCTTTTTGCTTTAATTTCCTCTTCCTTCTTTTGCCAGGGAATATTACCTCCCAGTATCTCAGCAGACCACTTAAATAGCCCTTCAGAGAAGGGGGTGTCTGCCAGGCCCGTGTCTTACTGATCCCCTGAATGAGATAGAAATTGGAAGGATAGTCAGGGCTGAGGGGGAGCCAAGGAAAAAGAGAGAGAGAGAGAGGGAGAGAGAGAGAAAAAGCATGAAGGGAGCAAGGTGATGCAAAGGAGAGAGCTGTGAGAAAGAAAGATTGGCATCAGGGAGGGAGGGAGGGAGAGAACAGAATGAACAGAATTTCTTTCTTTTCACAACTGGGTGGATTGTGGCTCTCTCTAGCTGAGCACCCAGAACTTAACTTAATTGTTCTTAGAAACTGCCTTCCTCTCACCCAACAGATGGCATGGGTGTGTTTGCTAGCACAGTAACATATTTCACCATTATAGCACCAAAAAGAAAAAAAAAAAAATCAACATACTTGTTGGTTGGTGTAAATTCAGTGAAGTTGTTGGATATTTTGGAATACATAGCAGAGGGACGCACACTTAGTTTATGTAAATTGCAGCAAGCAACAGCCTGTTAATAAGGGTGTTGTGTGGCAATATACCTCCAAAGCCATCATCTTTTTTTGGAAAGGTACAGAATGATGAAGTGGAAAGAGCTTGTTTTCATTCTGAGCCAAGAAAAGAAAAAAAAAAAAAAGAAGTCTAACAAAATGCTGAGTATTCACTGTTCGTTATTATAACATGAAAAGTACTAATAAGATTATGCCCAAAATTGGAATTAGGTACTTCATTTGCAGCCAATTTCACATGGGTTGAATTTTACTAAGTAAACCGGAATGTGCTGAAACCATGGTAATCTGACTTTAGATAAAAATCGCAAAGCCGGGGCGTGGGGCAGAGGCGGCGGGGGGAGGGCGGTGGTAGTGGAAGGGGGTGCCTGGGTGGCTCTGTCGTTAGGCCTCTGCCTCCAGCTCAGGTCATGATCCCAGGGTCCTGGCATGGAGCCCCATGTCGGCTCCCTACTCAGCAAAAAGCCTGCTTCTCCCTCTCCCACTCCCCCTGCTTGTGTTCCCTCTCTCGCTGTCTCTCTCTGTCAAATAAATAAATTAAATCTTTAAAAAAAATTCGCAAACAGGTTAGAACACAAGCTTTGAACAAACAGCCCCTTTCTAATCCAGTGAAACGACAGAACAGCTTAGAGGACAGATTTTGTTGGACACGGACATGAACAATTTAGGAAGTCGACGTTGCCAGGGATCCTGCGTCCTGGGCACACACACAGATTAAAGTGGAGCGTAGATGACGATTCATGTAACTCAAGTTTTAAAATGCCTTTCAGGCTAAATGATCTAGTTCGTTCCTTTCCATTTTCCATTCACTCTGTCCCAGTAGACCCTTGACAAGCCCAACCTGCTATTGAAAGAAATCCCGGAAGTTGAAATATTTACAAGCTGGAGCAACGCTGAGTTTGTAGCTGTTTGGGTTACATGGAGCATAACGCATTTTAGGTTCTCAGAGGCTATGGATCTAAACGCCCACACTGTCAAAAAGCTGAAGGCATTTTCTCTCCACAGCTCTGGATGTTCTTGGAACCATGGCACTGAGCTCACTTCCGCTCTTCACCTTCAGGCTTTTCCTAGTTAGTGAACTTAACAACAAGGCATGGCAGAGCAAGCGGATGAGTTTTATAGCTGTGGAATAGCCAAGGGCATGATGTGGAACCAAGCCACCCTTGGCCGCAGCACCCTTCACCTCAGCTAGTGTGCGCGCGCTCTTGCTTTTGTCTAAGCTTGGCCTAATTACCCGCAGTCAGAGCTCTGTAAATCAGGGCTCCACAGGGCTGTCTTAAACTGCTCGACGTATTCTGTTTCCATCTGACCTGACAACTCTAAGCCACTGTTTCCTCACACTGTTTAACTCAGACCACATTTGGAAGCCTTCCCTGCTCCCACTCGGTCATAGACCTACATCCGTCTGCTTTAAATCTACTGTCCTGGCTTGTCTTGTTGATTAGACTTAGACCCAATATTGGCTCTCATAATTCTCTTTTTGTCTCCGCTTTGGTTTGCTATTTTTCCAGATAAGTATTGCTGTTCAAATGGCTGTATACTGTTAAGACTTTTTTTTTTTAAAACCACATTCGTCAGCAGTGAGAAGGTTTAAAGTTTTATTAGTATCATAAAAACCCTTCCCAAATGAAACTACTTTTGATAAGTGTTCATTCTGACAATGAGAATTTGTTGAGGGCTGTTGGCAAGTTGAAGGAACTTGTTTTTGAAACTGAAATTGGCAGGAAGTAATGACCCCAAGTGCTTTCTTTCTCTTGACTCCAACCCCCAGCCCCTCAATGCGCTCCTTTCTCTCCCCACCCCCTTCCCCACCTTCAACACCCCAACTCAGAGCCAATAAATAACATGCTTGGTTTCATACAGTTTTTCTAGGGACAATTCATACACTGAAGCAGGCTTTCAACCTTTCAGCTTTTCTTAACTATGGAGCACAGACTGGCAAGTCAAAGGGAAAAAAATTATTTGTCTTCCACTTCATGATGGGATTTCTTGGTGGTATTTTTGCCTTCCATCTGAATAAGTTGGAGCTTTTTTGTACTGTGGAGTGTGTCATTTTCCGGGGAGCGCTCTCTTAATTGAATGTCAAAAATCAACTCATTTGCGAAAAATTTCTAAGTGACTAAAAAGCATGACTCATGTGGAAAAGAGAAAAACAAATCCTTATTTTTTCCCTCCTGTGAATATGCTGACAGACAAGACTACCATTATCCATGTGTTATGTAGTTCCTTATGTTTATTAAATGAGAAAATGCAAGTAGAAGTCTTAGAACCTTGCCTAGAGCTTAGTAAATGCTCAATAAATGCTCCCCGTGAGTTATTCTACCTTTGTAGTTGGAAAGCAATGCTAGTGAGCCAGAGCACAGCACTGGTTAAGAAGTGCACCAATGTGCATGACAGTGGCCATCACCTCTGTTACAGTCATCTTGAGTGAAGTCTGGAAATCAGTCTCCTTTCTGTCAGATTGGACAACTTATTTCAAATGCCATGTATTAGCTGGACAGGAAATGTGTAGATACAGTCATGGTGCTCAGACTCTGAATCTACTCAGGAGGTCCACAGTCCGTTGGATTGTGTTTCCTCTCGATGATAAATAAACTTAGGAGACACGTTTTGTTGACACCTATAGAACGAAGCTCGACTGAGAATAGTAAAAACTCTTGAAGACTTTGATCTGGGCCCAACTGAAAAGTGTGTGAGAGTCAACTCGGTGTCCAGTGGTCTGGCCGAAGAGGACCTGGAGACCCTCCTGCAGTCCCGGGTCCTTCCCTCAAGCCTGATGCTGCCCAAGGTGGAAGGTCCTGAAGAAATCCAGTGGGTGAGTAGCTAATGCTTTGCTTTAAAGACTCAGGAGCAGCTGGGAAGGAGTAGCAGAAGGCAGGGGTTCGGGTGCTGCACATTTTGAAAACGCATACACGGAGCAGAGAGAAAGGGAGCTGAGGGAAAGGAGGGAGGCCAAGAGACTCTTCCCTTCACACAAGGAGAGCCTGGCTTTACCCAGTGTTCGGAGGAACAACTCTGCCCTCGGGATGACGCTTCCGCTCCCTACTCAGACTTGCGGTTGGGCCAGAACAGCGTCCTTGGAAGCCTCACAAAGCAATCCTTGGAAACTGGCTTGCCCCGGGAATTGGATCACTTCTCTCGGGCCGCCAGGCCCTAACCTCCACCTGGAAGAGCAGGGAAGTAAATGGCTCCCACCCAGGTTCATTTGCCATCTTCATAGACAGCGAAAGCACATTAGCCACGAATGAAAAAAATGAACCTGGAGGAGGAGAGGGAAAGGTCACTCCTGAGGGCAACTCGGGGAAGAAACAGGAAGCTTTTAACTAGTGGTTTTAATTAGCACAGATATTATTTCCTGAACAGCTCTCTGGTCCGTCCTTTTTAAATTGCTGACAGGTGTGTGTGTGTTTCATGACAGACTTTTCAGCCAATAAAAACCTGACATGTCAAATTACTTAAGAAAACTTTGAAATGGGCCTAATTATACTATGATTGTTTTCATTGTTCAAGGAGGGGGAGGCTCGGTTTTATTTAGGGTTGCTCTGATTCTGCAGATCTCTGCTGAATAAAATACCCACCCGTTGTGCCACTCCGAGGCAGAGAGCCTGGGACGCGGCCGTGAGCGCGAACACAGTGGTGATTTTGACCCACGCCTGGGAGTATCTCGAAGGCTGTGGCTCCAAATGCAGCAGTGCCCCGAAGAGCTGTACTAGCAGAGGAAACGGCTCACCTTTTTCAGGCGTGTAGATGTGTCGAATCTGTACTTTCCAGGGCTGTGGTCGCCTGCCCCATGTGGCTACCGCCTGCTCCATGAGCGCTTGAAATGTGGCAAGTCCAAATTGAGATGTGCTGCTAAGTGTACAATACACATGGGGTTTCGAAGACTTTGCAGCCGCCTCCCCCCAAAAAGAATGTAAATTATGTCCATCATTTTTATATTGACCACATGTTGAAATGATAATATTTCAGCTCTGTTGGGTCGAACGAACATTACTCAAATGAAACTCACCTGTTTCATTTTCCTCTTTTAATGCAGCTACTAGCAAATTCAGAATTAATCTGTAGCTGCCATTAGTTTGCTGCTGGACAGCTCCATGTTGGCGTCTTCTGGAAGACCGCACGTTCAAGGCCCCGGGTTTACTTTCTAAACTGGAGTTCTTCTCCCCAAGGTCACCCCTCAGAAGCTGGGAGATACCAGTTACAGTCGGCTACAATCCCCGAGGCCTCCTGCCCCATTCGAATGTGTCTTAAATTGATTGAAATGGAATCTGAAGCCACTGTTCCCTTTTGGTTTCATGTTAATGCCTGTTTATCACCGTTATTACCCTTCATTTAAGAGGGGAGGACCCACCCCAGCCTTCAGCTACAGCTTCTGTTCGCTGTTTTTAAATCCTGGGATAGAAATAGGATTTCTAGTTAACAGAAGTCTTTTGGGCTGTTTATTTTTTCCTCTCCGTTTGTATTTATGTGAAGCATAAAACCCGGAGCCTGATGCACAACTGAAAGATGGGCTTCCTTGTTTCCTTTTGTGTGAGAATCTCTTGCTGGCCTTTTGTCGCTAGTGTGGGTTCTTGTTTGACTGGCACGGCTTATTGGACTATAACAAGCGTGACTCTGCCTCCTTTGTCGTGGGACAATTCTCCCACAAATCCCGAACAGTGTGCATTCTCCCAACACACTATTGGGTGTGCACTGGAATTGAAAGAATTGCTGAGCCCTGCTACTTCATCTCCTCCCCAATCTCTTTGTGATTTTTTTCCCCTTCTTTTCCTCCAGCCCCCTCCCCAGCCCCTCCACCTCACTGAAATGAACACTTTACCAGGCCGGAAACATTTAATCGTCTCCTTTTGAAAAAATTAATTGAAACTTCTCCACTAGTTACCTTTTGTGTCAGTACTTAATTCAATTTTTTAAGAAAGAAGGGGAGGAGGAGAAGGCGAATGGGCCAGAATATTTAATTTTTAAATGCCCCTGTTGGCTTAAAAACAAAAGGCATTAGAGATTTTTCTAAGAACAGGAAATATATTGTAAAGTACTTAGCTAGTTTTAAACTTTATGATTCTTGTAGTGACAACTATTATCACAAAGAATGGGACAAGTAATGTTGCACATTGGTTTTGTTTGTTTGTTTTAATGAGAAAAATAAGTTCTTCCAGTGCAGATATAACACCAAAACTGCTAATATTTCACTACCCATTTTCCAGTTTAAAAGTGATATAAGTTAGGTTTTATTTTCACTTTCTCGGAATAGTATACATTTTGTCTCCTTACATTGCAGCCTTCTCTTCTTTCTTGCTATTTTGGTTGTGTTCTTCCTTCCCTTGGAAAGTTACTAAGGAGGTGACGATGGTGGTGTCTGAGGAAGGGAGGGGCAGTGGGAGCAACTGGGAATAATTCTTCATTACTGAAAGCTGTGATTTATTTTAGGCTAATTGTAAAGTTACTGCAAATTGCTCAAAAGCTTTTTAAAGATCCCAGTGATTAGATTTTTTAGGGGGGGTGCTGCACAAGCAAGGAGGGGGCAGCTAAAAGGGGAAATAACACCTCTAATCCTGCTTCTGGTAAATAGGCTGCCAGCTTTTAAAATGAGTTTCCTTTCTATTAGTCAGAATATTATGCTAAGCCTTAAGCATTAGTTTTTTTATGTTGCCATAGCAGCCCTATTCCTGCAGGGTGGTGACCTGCGATGATTACAGTACAAAGCTTATAGGGTCTTGAAACCCCCTTTGAAGATGAAAAGTCTTTGATGGTTTATATTTATGCAAATCTCTTAGATATGATTTACCCAACTGAGACTGAATGGAGAGATGATTAAAATTCCCTTTTCCTTTGATATCCATTAATGGCTGAATATTCCTTAAATTTAAAATGGATATATATGTTTTCATCTTTATTTACAAAAATATCTTTATCATACCTGTGTGTGTGTGTGTGTGTGTGTGTGTGTGTGTGTGTGTGTTTATCTCCCCACATCTTATTAGATCTAGATAGACATAATAGATTTACAATTTAGAGTGTGGTGGGGTTTTTTTTCCCCCCTTTTGAAAGGGGGGGGTGGTGGAGATCTGTGCAAGAGCTTTTGTATGTTTCCAGATGATAGATTTTGGAATTTGGGCTACCCCACTGGCAGCACAGAGCTAGCTGTGAACTGGTCTCATGGAAAAAATTGGCGAGCTTTGGTCTTCAAAGAATTAAACTTCCTTTTTAAGGTCTTCCTAGGTAAGCTAAAAAATTATGAAGAAAAACCTACTGAACAAAGGATAATGGTGCTATAATGAATAATATGGGTTCCATGTAGAAGGCTGCTGTACAGTTCCACTGATGTCAGTGCCTGGTCCAAAACAAAAACAGAATGGCAGGTAGAGCAAGACTTCACTGTTTTGGGGACCTACCATTTGCATTTAACGAAGTGAAGGCTAGAGGTCTTAAGTAGATGTTTTCAAGGAAAGCATTTAAACTCCAGAATCTCTCTTTCCACTTCTAACTCCTAGGCCTCAAAATGCTCCTTAAGCGGGGAAAAAAATTATAATGCTTGGGGTTTTACTATTTAGTTTGGTGGGAACTTTGTTACCTGTTTTCTTTGGTCTTTCCTCCTGTTTTGTTTTGTTTTGTTTTCAATCTCTTTTGTGTACAAAATAGGTTGGGATATTACTTCCTCAGGCCAAAGACTTAAATACTACTTCTATGTCTACGTTTCGGTGATTGTACATTTTTCCCCCATTAATCACCTATGACACTTTTGATTTTAGTTTTCAGACAAATTTTCATTCTACTTAAAAGGCCGAAAACTTGAACAGCCTATGAATTTAATCCCTTTTGTGGAAACTGCAATGGGCTTGCTCAATTTTAAGGTAAGAGAACGTAATGTGACTAATAAGTTAGTATTTTATTTATTCCCTAAAGAGAACTTTTGTTCTCAATTTTGATATCTACTTAAAATATTTCTCTAGAAAGATTTATAGGCAAAGTAAACCTTGAGCACCATTTATTATCTGTAATAATCCAGGCGGTGAGCATCTTAGAAAACAAAGAAGCTAGCTTAGTAGCAAGGAAAAACTTCCCAATCCTAAATATTTAAGTGAAATATTTATATATTCCTATTTTAATGAAATAAACATACGTAAACATATGCTCTGAATTATTATATTTATAGATGAAATGTACATGAAAATATCTTTTGTTTCCCTTCTGAGTTGACGTTCAGTTATTCTTTTGTAACAATTGCCTTTTATTGGGAAATTTTCTGGCCTCTTTGTGGCAACATTATCCATAATGTCTAGTATGTACGACTGCTTTTGTAGGTTAGTATACACCAGTAATCTGTAATATATTATTTCAATTTGCCACATTAGAACGTGCAGTATTTCCTGATATGCATTCAGGAAGATGAGCTGAACTAAGTGTTTGCCAGCAGTGTAGGGCTGCATTCAACCATTTATTTGCCTTAACGATTTCATGGCTAGCTTGTTTTTTCCCCTTTATCACTGATCATTTAAACTGTTTTCCAAAACGTGTCTCACATTTCACCTGACTCCAGAACATCATTGCAGCGCCCTGTCTCAGAGGGCAGAAGGGAAGAAATCCCTAAAAACAAAGAAAAGAGATAGTTGAAAACTGCCCAGAGAGATACTACGTGAGTAAGCGCTCCGAGAGGAAACTTTGAGACCTACTGGACCATGCAGGAGGGGCAGAGTGCATATGTTCAGGGAGCTGCTTCGAGCCTCATGATCAGCACATTTACGCCACTGACCACAAATTCTTCCAGCCTGCCCCGTAATTCTGAGATATAATCAAAGCATATCCCTTAGATGTGACTAGATTCAGACAATGATTGAATTCTAAACTCCACGGCACCACATTATTCCATATTATACTTAGGAGCACTTACAACCCCTGAAATTAATCAACGGTGTCCTCTCCCGATTTTCAGGTCTTCCCCACCCACATACATTAGCATGCTTAATCTCCACCTCGGTAGATTGAGTTCCCCACGACTCAGTTACCTAACATGTAGGACAGATGTTACAAATCACATAGAAATATTTTCACATAGAAATATAAAAGTTGCCAATGAATACATCTTGAATGACTTGTTGCATTTTTATTTGCCCCTCTGGAGTTGTAGATTTTTGTATTGACTGTCTTTAATCCTGAGACCATTTACTAGGAAATCCTGATCCTAATGCAAATAATCCAATTAATTTGATTTAAAAATTCTTTCCTTCTCTCCTGTGGTTCTATGTTTATTGTTTGAGAGTCTCTTAAAACAAAAACAAATTTTGGAAAAAAGAGAAATAATGTACAGTACGATCAAAATGAGTTAATTCAAACTTTCTCTAGAAATTAGATGAACTGTGATTCGAACATTGTTAACTGTATTAATATATATTTGTAACTGTATTAATGTAATCCATGAAGCAAAGCAAATCTATACAACGTACTTATCTTGGACAATATTAAAAGCCTTTCAAAAGAGGTAAATTTAGGCTGCATTTTAGGACTGCTAGTTTGCTTTCAGCCAAACTGTGTTAAGAGTTGTATCTTTCTGCTACTGAAATACACCATGCTGTTTCTCTCTAAACTGCATTTCTGTGAGATTTGGTTCTGTTCTGCTCTTTTACAGGCCGTGTGTGAAGAAGCACTGAAGACCGGACCTCAAGTGGGTCTTTTCCTAGATGCAGTCGTTTTTGGAGGAGAAGATTTTCGGGCCAGCATAGGTATCAAACACATTTCTCTCTTTTTCAATCTCTGTGTGTGTGTGTGTGTGTGTGTGTGTGTGTGTGTGTGTGTATTTTTTCTTTGCCCCTTCATGAATGGACATTTACATGACAATATATATTTGCCAACCATGACAATGGTTCTTCTGAATGGGCAATACTTTCTGATAATTTAGGGCACCTCGGAGCTGTCCTGCTTCTAGAATACTGTATTATTACTTCTCTTCGTTTATAAAATAATAAAAAGCCTGTCGCAACCTCAGATGTGTTGGGGAATATATGACATCTACTTTGTTCATAGTGAGTATAATATGTGAATAACCTCTCCGTTGCTTAAATAGTTTGTTTTCACATCAGTCTGAGGGCTATGTAGGCTTCTAACACAAATAAAGGCAATTTTACATTTTAATGAATCATTTTCTATATTAAATGTAGTATCCAAATATTATTTTAAACAGATCTTAGATTCCTCCTAAAATACATGTCAGAACTCTTATTAAATATTTATTGAGATAATATGTTTGTTTCCACTAATCTTCCCCATCCCTTGGGCACTCTGCCTCTGGTCTTACTAGTGACTCTGGGCACACCTAGAAAAGAGGCCAAGTCCACAAAGCATTTGCAGAACCACAGTGCCAGTGGCCTGAAGCCTGGAGCTCTCCCTGAGCAGTGTCACGGTCCAAATACAAACAGTGACAACCCACACACACCCGCCCCTAGGGGGAAAGAAAAGGAGCTTATTTTAATACCAGTCTTTCCAAGAGACTTTTGTGTTTCCGACAGTTCAGTGGACACTTTCTGCCTCTTTCAAAATGAGTGCCCTTCCGTTTCCCCAATTTCTTCATCCCAACCCTGAAGCTGTGCTCTTTGGCTCAGAACCTTAGTTATGGCAGGGCATGGCAACCACAGCACGTGAATTTCTGGGCTCTGCAAGAGAAGTTAACTATTTCCTTGCCCAGCTGCTTGGCCACCTTTTGTGGTGCCGTCTTTGGACTGATACTTTCCAAGCAATGGCTAGAAGGAAAAAAATCTACCAGAAGTAATTGGTGACCTATCAAGTCATTTGTGGTTGTATCTCCTGAGATGCAGGAGGGGCCCTTTCTTAACCCACACACAAGTAATGACACTGAAAGGTGCCTTCCAAGATAAACAGACACGTAAGTGACTTAACTCTGCCTCCACATATCCCTCTCTTTGTTTATATTAGAATCATCATTTTGCTGGGGAACAATTCCCAGGTCTTTACAAACCGAGTTTTTACAATAGGTGGCTGTGTTTGGTTTCCAGAGTTCATGTCTCCTTTTTCTGTCCACATCCCATTTCAGGTGCAACAAGTAGTAAAGATACCCAAGATATTCTGTACGCCCGACAGAAGATTATCGTTACAGCGAAGGCCTTTGGTCTGCAGGCCATAGATCTGGTATACATTGACTTTCGAGATGGAGAGGGGCTCCTCAGGCAGTCAAGGGAAGGAGCTGCGATGGGATTTACTGGTATGATTCTTGATGATATCCTAGAAAGCAGTAGCGAAATTAGCAAACATTCCAGAGCCATATATCTGATAGACTTATTCCACTATTTGAAATGTGGAAATGTCATCTAGGGTAAGAACCTACTGAACAAATTGTGTTTTCCCTTGGTGGTGCAACTCAAACAATGAAGCCTTCGTTTTATTTCCTCTTTACATTAGTTACCATTTTTTTTTTCTGTCTTCCTAAGTATTCTGGTTTTGCTGACCCTAGAGGAGGGATGAGGTTATTAGAGAAGTGTTTTTGAGTGAATTGCTGTAAGAATTTGGGTTGATGGGGAAAAGGAAGATGTCCTCAAACATTCAAAATATTCATTTCTGAAAAAACTTTGGTGATCTCTTCTTTGATTTTTTTTTTTACTACTCATAACTAGTTTTTTATTCTTCTGCTACTTCAAGCTCCTTATTCTTCTCCCACCTCCCAGTAAGTGTCTATGCACCTGGCGACACCTACGGGCTTTGGCTGGCACTAAGATCAGCGGGTTTCCCTCAATCCAGTCCTGGAGTGCAGGCAGATATCTGTTGATTGGTGTGTCCGATCACTCAGATCCCCAGGAGTCCGGGGAGCAACCGAAAATTGTGTTTTTGCAACAGAAATCCATTTTTTTCAAAACCACAATAGGATTCTACACACAAACACACATCCATAGTTGAGAGCATACACATACACACACACACACACACACACATACACGCAACCATAGATAAGAAACACCATAAGCTCTTTTATTCTTAGTTATTCTTCTGCTACAAGTTCTAAGAATATCATGATCAGAAATTAACTCAGATAATAAGGAAAAGAGACAAACATCTTTGCTGTCCCTTTTGTAAATATTTTTGAAATATGTCCAGTTGGGGATTACTGAAAGAATTATTTCTTAAAATGACCTTAAATGTAAAACTTAACTTAGTAGACGGTGGTTTACCCCCAAATAAAATTAAACAACTTAGGAAATTTCAGTATTATGTTAGACTTAAATAAAGTTCTGACAATTTGTTTTTGTGTCTTCAACAGGAAGAGTTAAAACAAACTGTGATCACCCCAAATTTGTTTAATAAATAAATGAGTAAATAAATGTGATCTCTTATAGGGAAATATTTTTCAATCATCTGAAATATTAATAAATGAATCCTCCCCACATTTAATAGTGACTAAGAATGAAAGAGTCCTCTCCTGGCCCTGAGGTTGTCCTTGTCCCCGTGGCCTGTTACACCTGCCTCTTTCCAGTGACCAGTTAGGGCATAGCCCAAATGGAAAAGTTGGAGAAACACTCCATGAAATCTATCTAATAGACCTCGATGTTGTTGGTCTAAAATGTGTAGCATTGGCTGCCAAGCAGCCAGATGTTGCTGTGAAATGGGCACTAATTCAATAAAAAAAAAAAAAAAAAAAAAAATTGAAAACACTGAATTGATGCTGGCCTGTATCATCATCACTCAGTATAACCTGGGTGTCCTCAACTACCTCTGGGGTAAATGTTTGCTCCAGAGCTTATAAAGGAGTTTGAGAATTTCTCCAAGAAACAGGGCTGAATTAAATTGGTCCCTAATTCAATCGCAGAAGACAAGTTACTTCAAATCAGATTTAAATTTCTAGACTGTGCCCAACTCAGCATGAGGAGCTTATGGGCTTGGCACTATTGTTTCTCAACAACAGGGAGTATTAAATCACACACACAAAAAAATGGAAGCAGGGGGAGAATGGGGAGGCACAGAGGGTACAGTGCCCATTATATATTCAAGTGAACAAGTCAGTAAAGTAGGGAGCTATACTTCATAATCATTTTGCAATTTTTAGAAAGGTCTTTGTTGTCCCAGTTATATTTCTACATACCAGTAAAAGGGAATTAGTCTGGTAATAAGATATGAGATTATTTGTAGTATTTTGAAACAATAAGGGCTTTGATTATTTTAGACCCAGTTGTGATCTGTCTGTCCTAATTATTTGTCATTTAATTGCCATAACTTGGGCTCTGCACAAGCAGGGAGGAAAGCAAGGAGGGAAGAAGAAATACGCACCCACTCTGAAGCAGGTGGTTGGAAGTTTTAAAATCTAATGAAAGTATCGTGTTACCCCTAACACTGATGAGCAGCACTCAGTCTATGCAAAAGGATTTTCTCTACTTCTAAAAATTAATACATTTTTTTTAATGAGTTGTAGTTTTTTAAAAGTTAGCCATGCATCAAACAGCACATTATGGTTTCTCTTCTCCGGTCATTATTTCACAGGGCCACAGTCCATGTGGATTGATTTTAAATCAATACATTGGCCATACAAGTGGCTATTAACATTAGGAATTATTTTTCTAAAAAGAAAGCAAAACTAAATCTTGGAATAAAGCTTCAACAGCTGACTTGGTCATCACTGCATGCTGAGAAGAAAGATGATAAATTTGAAGCCCTATAGGTTTTTTCTTTTTTGCAGTCTTTTGTAGAAGACAAAAATGACACCATCATACAGTCACCTAAAAGACTTGACAGGTATTGATTTAAAGCACGATATATCAAGTGGTACTGTAAAAAGGATTTCATGGTCATAAATTTTAATGTCTTCCAATTTTGCACCCTCAGTAACTTGCCAATAACAGCCCTTCTGTATAAAATATTTGCTTCACTCCCACATGGGCATTAAAGTCTGACATTCTGTTGTTGGGATATACAAGAATCAGCCACAGAAAACTTCGTACATGGATGTTCATAAATTTCTAAAACTTAACACATATCCTAAAATTAGCCTCACTACCAAAATACAGGTACTTGCAGCCATCAGTGCTTTCCCAGTATTTCTAGATGGTTTATGTTTCGCTCCTCAAGTCATAGTGTCTGTACCAAGATGTTCCCGTGAAATCTGGCTTTTTACACATCTATGTAAATTATGAACATAAATTATAAAATTCAGGTCTAACAATTAGTACAAAATGACTACCAGAACTGACATCCTTTATTAATAATATTGTAACAACTATTAGATGACTTAAATGTAATTGCAGCACCTTTTGAAAAAAGCTCTCATTTGTCATCACTGATATTATTTGTTCCCTGAAATTATGCCTCAGTTTTAGTATATGTGCTGCCGAAATGAGCACAATTCCTCAAATAATTTAAAGCATCTTTATTTGTATAAGGCTTCAAAGTTTTATTAGTATGCTGATAGATTGGAATCAAGTAACAGCAAGGTGAAGGTGTTCTAATTATGCTACTGTAAGAAAAGATATTGCTATATTGATCCATTTAAACTCTTTTGCATGAAATACTCAAATTTTTTTTTACAAATATTGGGGGTTTTTTTCCTACTCAGTAGAATAATGACAGTAACAGGAATTGATCTTTTCTAAAACATCAAGGGTATAATTTGTACTGGCTAAATGTTAAAACTATTTCAGAAGCAAAGCAAATTGATACATGGACAAATATATCTAGGAGAGCAAATTATCATTAAGTGCACATTCATTTTTAAACAACGAAATATGTCCATAATTTTATCATGTAATAAAATATAATCTCATCATTATTATAACATTAAATTATGTTGTATTTTATTAATGACCTGATTCAATTTTACACTTCCCTGATTGTTAAATTGTTTCTTTTAATGACGGCATGATTTCACAGAAGCCTGTGAGTCCTATGTTTGTGTAGTGTTTTTCTTTAGGATCTTAAACTCCGAAAAGCAGCAGAAAGCTTCTCACTACAGAGATAAGCTTTCTTCTGGGGTATCTAAATATCTATGTAAGAGGGAAATATTCAGTCTTCTTCTTTTTCTACAAGAAAAAAGGGAAAACCTGGTTATGTTTTGGAGTAGAGAAACTTTCAGTAACTTTTTTATTTAAACATTCTGAAATGGAGTAATCTAGAGACCACTGTGTTCAAATCTGCCTTCTGTTTCACTGTACTGAGTAAAATTTTTTCATTGAAATCCAAATTTCTGTTAGTGGTTAGAAATGACACACTGTATTTGTCTTAAAGAAAGAAAATTAAATATATTATATGATTATAAGCCACTATTTGATATTAATATAGTTGTAACATCTGTTTCTCTAAGCTTTACGGAAACCAACAGACCACTTCTAAAAGAAACCATGGCAGGTGGGATAATGGTACAAAAGAAGCAAAAGACAACTTGTAAAATTTGAAAGAGTTAACATATAATTTTTTTGTACTTTAACTCAAAATAATCACTCTAATTTGCAGATATTATCCTTTAAATTTCCAGCCAAAGCATTAGCCAACGAGCTGCCTAGTTAACCCACCTGTAACTAAAAATGAGAGATTATCTGCACTAAGGTGGCATTTCTATAGGATCAGAAACACAATTACTCCCATTCTTCTGTGTTTCTTAGGTGGTATTCTGGAAAAGCCTGCCAGATTGCAGTTACTTTCTTTTTTAAAAAGTTCTACAATAATGAGTTATTTTACATACAGTCTGTGAAGCATTAGGAGGCTTTCGTGGTTGAGACATTTTGTTTGAACATCTGTTTGTTGTTTCCTGTTTCCGGTGTTATTAATCTTCTTGTAGGTAAGCAGGTGATACACCCTAACCAAATTGCGGTGGTACAGGAACAGTTTTCTCCTTCCCCTGAAAAAATTAAGTGGGCTGAAGAACTGATCGCTGCCTTTAAAGAACATCAACAATTAGGAAAGGTAAATGTTTTGTTAATGCCTTGGGTGAAACTGGTGTTTAAAATACTGTGGGGGGAAAATATAAACTAGATATCGTTTGAGTCGTTTCAAAAACTCATTGCGTTGTAAGGGGGAAGGTGGGGGGAGGACAGCATTCATCAGGGAGAAATTCACTTAAGGTAAATTTGCCCTTCCACATTGCTGAATATTTCACTACCTGGTCCTCAAGTCGCTCTATAGTTTTTCTTTTCATAAACTATATTGGCAAACCTTTAAGAAAATAGAAGTCTGTTTAGTTTTTCTCTATAGACTCCAATGCAGCATTCATATGAAAATAATTTTAGATCAAAGCGAATGCAAGTTGTAATGAAATAAACACAGTTTGATCAAATGGTTCTTGTGGAGAGAGGAAATAAATTTTCAAGTTATTTTAATTCGGGGGCAAAAATGTAACAAAAAGCTCCTCCGGTTTAATCATTTCAGAGTGGGAGGCTGTGTATGTGTTTGTACCAATTTCTGGACCTGAGATTTGGATAGAATGGAGAGCAAATTAACACTGGAGTACGGTTGTTCCTAATTTAGTGCATCATTGAGCCTCGCGTTTCCTGCTCTGTGGGTTTCTGCTATGTAAATATTGCAGTGGTGATGCGCAATCTGTCTCCACTTTGTGCCAGTAACACTTAAATTAGGTGTCGCCTGAAGGAAGATTTTATGCTAGTAGCAGCATTGTCAGTTAATTATCTTAAAGGTTATTTGCAGTAATACCGTTTGCCTCTTTGTAAGGGAACGGGGAAAGTTGCATTTATAAATCCATCCTAGAGGTACTATCTAAACTCAGCCTAGTTACCGACATAAGGAGTGAAGTTTTAATACCTGCGATGCAAACGGTCTTGGGGAAGAAAGAATGCTGAAACATTACAGCCCCTTACAGGGGGGAGGGAAAAAAAAAGACAAAACTGGCTTCTGTGGTGAACTGGTGACATCGATGTGAGAAGTGTCACTCGCACTTTTCACCGGCAGTATAAACACCTGAAAGTCTCAGGACTTGGGAAAGTAGAAAGTAGGTCACTCCCTCCCCATCATTACAGATACCTGCCTTCAGCTCTGACCTTGCCTACTTGCTCACCCTCACACACTCACAGGCTCGTCTTTGCACAAACTGGCACTTAAAATCAAAGGGCAGAATATGTGACATTGGAAACATCCCATTTGGACTTACACTAGTTTCTGAATAAATAGCATTCTTTCATTTTAAATCAGGAGTGGCTGTCAGAAAAGCACTGCAGTGATTTGTTTTGAAAATGACATAGTTTTAATGTCCATTTCTGTATCTTGACTCCAAAACCCAGCACCTCCACGAATGAACATCATTATTTACCTAAAGAGCCATATACTTTTTCATTCATACATGCAAATAACTCCATCCACTCCCCTGTCCTACCTGTGCCTCCGCACACACTAAATGTTCTCAGCCTCTCCTTATGTCAGCCGATAAATACTTCCTATTGAAATGATAAACTGAGGCAGAAGGTGGGCCATCAAAATGGCAGACTGAGCAGCGTTCTGGGCTGAGCCACCGCTGCCTCCATTAACCGCCTACACCGGGCTTCACATTGAATAACATCAAAGGATCCCACTCAGCATGGTAAGCAGCTAGGAGTATGGACGAGGTTACTGTAAATTTCGGGTAGCCAGCAAACAAAATTCAACGTAGAAACACACTCTTTTGCTGGCATTTTTTAAGTTCTTGAATGAAGGAAAAAACACTTTTCCACTGTATCTTAGAAGTGTTCCTGAGCAAAATCATTCCAAAGTGTCCTTGCCTTTGGATGATGGCAACATAAATGTTAAATTCAGAACTGGCTTTTTTTTTTTTTTTTTTAATAAGAAATGCTGTCTTGTTGGGGCATAAGCTTTCACAACAATGTGGCAGGACAGCTTTTCCTAACACAGAACCACAGAAATTAGAGCAGAAGGGAGACTCACCATTAGGTCATTTCCTCCCTGCCCCATTGGTGTAGGTTTGTTTCCTACAGCAAATTCTCCTGGTGCTTTGTCCAGCAAGGTTTAAATGATTCAAGTAATGGGGCTTCCAGTGGGGACATATGGTTATTTTATCCAGTTCGCATGTTTCTTTCACTTTGCCTATAAATTGGCTGGTCACAAAAATTGGGTCTGCAGGTAGGTGACTCTGGGTTTTGAAGGGTCTTGGGGTTTAAATAATGTGTGTTCTGTTTGTAAAGATTTAGTATAAATAGGTTGCTCAATTGTATAAAGTATCGCTTCCAACAAACTTCTAATCTGTTTTATTTCAATTGTGAATCGCTGATGAAAACATACACCCTCGGATACTTTGTCCAAAGCACAGGTGACTCAGTCAATGATGGTAAACTGATAGTTTGTGTCCTAGTGAGACAGTTACAAATTTCCAAAAGACCTTTGTTCCCCTCCGATGAAAATTTCATTCAAGTAATGTTTTTAGGTAGAAATGACCCAAGAAGGCAAAATTATATATTTTTGCTTTTTTCTTCTTCTGCTCCCATCTTAAATTATATTCTGCTCTAAGACCAGAGGTATAGCTGAAGTTCACAGGTAATGCTAGGTCCTTTGTGTTTTCTATAGTGACAATAATTAGTATTGTCGTGTAATAATAATAATAACAATATTGTAATAACAGTAATTATTATAAAAAATGTGATACCTTTTTTCCTGTTCCTACCAAATAACAAAATTTGTGGGAATACTTAGATCACAAAGTAGATTAATTATTGGAGAACTTTGGTGTCACAGAATTTTTTTTGTTTCATTTATATTAGAAGTTTTTAGGAAATAAAGTCTGATGCCCTTTAATCTAATGTCAGCTTAAAAAGTACTTTACATTAAGAAATAATAATCTGCTCATATAATCTGTCACTGTTTGGCAGATCATGGTACTTGTGACTGCTTTGTTTCAGGAAACTATAGATACTTACAGGCAAAAGCATTTTGCCTGGCACAGCAGTCCCCACTAATAAGAATTAGGCTATCAGTTGACATTAGGGACTCAGGGTCATCTTCTCTTATTAAAATCTGTTGGAAAAATCTTAAACATTTCCAATACTCTATGCTCCTATTTTAATTCCCATAAGCTAAAATATGTCAAACTTAGCTGACATCAGTTGTGAGATATATATCTGCAATATTCGTCAGACTTGTGTTTTTCTCCAGTCCTTCCAGAAAAATATATTTTGAGATACAACCTGCATGTCATTAATAATTTTAGCTTCAAATTATTTGGTAGGAACTTTAGCCAGGATAAATCACTTTCCATATGATTTATTTTAAACCTATAGAAGGTTTTCTTAGAGGTTAATTTTATTTTTGATGTCATCTTTTCCATAACAGTGGTGATTCCACTATTTGTAAATTCTCCATTCAGAATTGAATTTAGTATTCCTTCTTAAAAATGGGATTTTTACAGTTCTTTTTTTATCAACTTGAAATTGTATATAGTAGGAAAATTGGGTAACTGAAAGGAAAACATCTCAAGCAAATATTTAGTTAATATTAATATATATATGTATCAGTGGAAACTATAACTTACATATAAGTACATATAAATATTTATGCAGTATATATACATTCATGTATTATGATACAGTATATTTTTTTCAAGTTTCTATTATAAACTCAGTGCTTGTTTTTTCCTCTTTTTTTATTCATTTCTTCTTGGCAAAAATGACAGCTAAAGAAAATGATTGATCAGTAATCCTAAGATATTTTAATATAAGAATTTAGCATTTCTATGTGGAGACTAAAAGAAAAATGTGAAAGAATAGCAAAGTATATTACATGTGATAGATTTTAAAGGTACTTTGCTAGAATATTCCTGTTTTTTGCAGTATCTGACTACAAATACAGCTTTGCTTCATTTTCAGTTTTACTCATATCATTATCATTTGGCTCTCGTTTTACTTTTTCAACATTTTTCATTTGTTACAGCTTCACAAACTATCTAAAAAACCAAGGAACAGGAAATGTTCATCTCTAAAATCTAGGTTCAATTAACAATTATAAAGGTCAAAAAACAAGGTCACTACTTGACATAACAACTGTAAATATCACTGAAACGTTCTAATTTCACTCGTGAGAAAACCGTAGAGCAAATTAATAAGTTTACATTAATAAGCAAATCCTCTACTGGAACATAAACTGGGAATTTATATCTTAATAAAGAAAGAGGGGCTTTTTTCCCTAATGGAAGTCTTTTCATCTAGAGAATTACAAAGGATAATAACCACCCCTCCAAGAATTGAAAGCAAATTATTTTCATAGGTATCTGATTGCTGCTCATACACCTTTCATTTGTGTTTGTGCAGGGCTTTACAAAAGAAATACTGTTTGGGCCAGATGGCCTTCTAGAAGGCTCCCTGAGAGAACTCAGAAATCTCTCTAGCCAAAAATATTGTTTCCGCTTATTCAAGTGCCAGAAATCCCACTGCCACTCTTTCACGCAGATCAAATAAACCATCTAAAGATTTGGTTGTTGTCTTTGTCGGCTGAAAGGGTTGATTCCACTAATAGACAGCAGTGTACCCTCCCACACCCAAGCATCCCACCACCCACAGCCTTTCCCCCCTTTATTTGTAAGCAGGAATACTAAAATCAGAACCGAGTGATTTCTAGTGAAAATAAAAACTGAAGGGGCACAACTCTACTTTTGAGATCCTCGGTTATTACATTTCCCCCCTTTATTTCCTTGTTCCTTTAATATTTTTAGAACTGTATGCCATGACTTTAAAAAGTCAAATTCGTTACAAAGCTGAGAGTGCCAGTGAGGAGGACGTCGGGGTTGATCTGATTAGCTACAAACTGCTGATTTCTAAACATTTAAAGTAAGGCAATGCAATTCTAGTGCCGATATATCCTATTTCACACAGTTTTAGTGGCAAATGGTTCAGTACTAGAGGATAAGAAATTGTATATATAGGTTAAATCTGATCTTTTCTAAAGCTGTTTGCTTCATCCTTAATTTATAAGGA